GAGGCCAAAACGATCCTCTTCCGTGGCGCCAAGGACCTCGCGGCGGTCGTCGCAGCGGTCAAGACCTCGGACGGTGCCCAAAGCTTGATGTGGCGCGTCGCAGTCGCCGAAGCCGCGTGCCTCGTCGACGCCAAGACCAACAAGAGCTGGATCGGCGCGTGGCTCCTCGAAGACCAGGCGCAGGGCGCAGTCGCCGCGTACGAAGCGGCGATCGACGTCGTCTCACGCTTTGCGGACGCCAAGGAGGCGGCGGCGTTTAAGGCGAAAGTCAAGGGCTGGTTCCCCCATGCGGTCGCGTTCGGGAACGCGTACAAGCACTAAGTGCGTAGAGACCATAGACTACTTGGATGCCGCTAATGCGACAACCAATCGCACGTTTTTGCCATTGTCCCTCCTCCTGTGTCCCATGCGTACACGCTCGGGACGAGGCGCAGACCGCGAGCTCGAGATGGCGTCCTGGCCTGGCTTTTCGCTCAACCCGGGCGTTTGGGACCTGGACCGGCTCGAGACACGACAACAGCGGTTCGATACGGCGTCGGATGTGTTTGAGCGCGCGTTCTCACTGCAAGTGCGACGTGCGGGCTCGCACGTGGCAGCGCTGACGACGAAAGTGATCATTGGCGCGCCGCCCGGCTCGAACGCGTCGGCGTACGTTCTCAACGGTCTTCCGAGACGCTTTGACGCGCTGCTTGTCGAGTTGTAGTCGATGATCGAGGAGTTGGGATTGAACTGTGAGCCAATACTGTGGATGGACGAGGTGACACCGTCACTAGCTATTAAGAACCGAGGCGCGGAAGGACACACAACTTTCTTGTATACTAGTAGCAGTGATGCATGGATGGCTGTGCAACCCTACCCCTTGACCGAGTCGACGCCATTGGAGCTTGTGTGTCTCTTGGGACGCAGCGAGGTGCATCTTGTCGTTCAATTCAATCGAGTTTTTATCAACATGCTTGGCAAGACGGGAAAGGGCTGCACCTCTGGAGGCAGCGATGTGGTGGTCCTAAGCAGTCGATCTGGTGACGCTTGCGAGCGAAGAGGTCGAGAAAGAGTCGTAGGGTTGCGGTGCAGTGTGCACCAATAGCTCTAATTCTAGAAGCATCCAGGACCATTGACAAATCTCTAGCGAGATGAAATGTGCGCACCGCGACTGGAGAGCATCGATCGCACCGTTGGTCGTGTCCGGATAAGGAACGCGCCACCGCCTGCCAGCTCACGATCATCCGGATACTGAGTTCGGATCCAACGGGCTCATGGGCTGGTGCCACGGCTCGAGGTGTCATTTCTCAACACGCCGCGATGGCAGAAAGCACGTCGGACAGCGAGAAGAAGGCGCGCAAGCGAGCCGCCGACAAGAAGTACAGAGCAGCAAACGCCGAGAAGCTCGCAGCGCAGTACAAGGCCCGCTACGACAAGAACCGCGCTCACGAGCTGATGCGGGCCAAAACCTACCGGCAAACGCACAAGGAGGCCGTCAAGGCCACCAAAAATCGTGGAACGTGGCGAACCGGGCGTTCAAGCTGGCGTACGACCGAGCTCGGTACGATATCCTTGCGTTCGAACCGATTCACGTTCTCTTTTCCTAGTTGGGCGCGGAAGAAGGCGCTTGCTGCCGGCCAAGAACCCCCGCCGCTGCCCACGCTGGCCGACTTTCGTGCGGCACAAGAGGCCGCAGACCAAGTCGTTGCATCGATGGCTGCGGACGACCAGCTCGACGACGTCCCGCACCCCTTGGCCGCCACCACCAAGCCCATTGAGATGGTCTCGTTTACCAACGAGCATCCGTTCAACCTGCGCAAGCGCGGGCCCGAGCCCGTCTGCAATGAGTGCGCTCGCTTCCACCCGAACGCGCTCACGTCGGCGACCAACACGGTGCTGTTGCCAGGCACGTACCAGTGTACGCTCTGCCGCGACTGGACCTACTACCGTCGCCACCGCAAGCGCAAGCGCACCCGTGCCGACGCCCGCCTCGATGCTCCTTCGGCGTGAGCTTTTCATTTTGTCTATATTTTGTTTAATCCAGTGTCGATGTTGTATTGGAACCAGTGTGTTTCGTGTTGTCTTGGTACTGCGTACGAGTACGAGAACGATTTAAGCACTTGCGGAGCTGCGTTCAATAAGATACCAACGGTGCAGAGGATAGCAATCGAAGAGGTTGCACCAGCTGCATGCCACGGATATCTCATGCGTGACTGTCTGTCGCGGGACCGACGTAATTTGCAAAGTCTCTATGGCGTCGCCTCTTCTTGTGGCCAAAATCAGCATTCCCGAAAAGTCTCGTAAAATTCCCAACGATTCCCGAAAGAGGCTAAAATGCAGTTTTGATGGAGCCCGTGCAGACCATCAATGACGCCGAACCTCTTGCCGCACCGTGAACAAATGAAGGTCTTTTAACAAGTAAAAGACTTGAGAATTTCACCGCGTCGACCCATTGACCACGATGTGAGTGACGTTCTTTCCACACCAGCGACACGAAAGCATCCAATCGCATCACAATCCTCAACATCCGGATATCTTTCGAATCCGGATACCCACCGCCGAGCTTGAAGCGGTCATTTCCGAGTTTGCTCTTTCCACGCCATCGCTAATTCCAGCAGCATGTCGACGAGCCATGGCGCGATGAAGCACCAAGTGCTGCAGACAGCGACCAAGATCAAGCTGCGCGAGCTCAACGCCCACGAGCAGCGCCTGCGGTCGCACTACGCGGCGCTGCTGGCAGCGGCCAACCACGCCGAGGCGCCGATGCGCGACCAGCTCGAGGCGCTGTACGCAGGTGTCAAGGACTTGCAGGTCGTGCAGACGCCATTGCATCCGGACCTGGATCACATGGGCGCGCTCGCCGACTTTGCCAAGAGCGACGTCTGGACCACGGCGCAGGCGGTGGCGCAGCACCGATCGTCGCTGCTCAAGGAGATCGACCAGCGCCAGTCGCTCTGGCGACACAACAAGCTGCTCGGCGCGCTCTTGCACGAGTCGTTGGCCGAAGAGCTTGCGCCCGTCGATGCCGAGTGGGAAGCCGTGGGCGACGCGACCAGCGGTGGCG